ATTCTCTCTCTTCTTTTTCTTGCTGTGGTTTGCAAAAGAGGCATTGAGTGGCAATCATGTTCAGTCTATAGTCTACTTTCAGCATGCATCTCCCATCCTGGGACGATCCTCCTAACACCCTTTATTTGGTGCTCCCTTTTCTATCTGAGCTGAAAGGCAGTAACATTTAAAGGCCAAAAATTTCTTTAAAAGACATTTAAGAAAATAAAGACCCAAAATGTTATAGACTCACTTTTTTTTTCAGAGAATTTAGGTACCAAATCCATTTTCTAATAAGACACTCCTGTACATTTAAATTTTTTTGTGACTTTCATTCTTAATTATATCAGTAGTATATAAATTTCTCTTTTTAGTTATTTCTCCTTCCATTATTCTCTGTAATTACTTCAAACATCATACACATGCGTTGATTCTTATACTCTCATATACTTAAATTTAAAACTTCTTCATGAGGTAATTAAATCCACCAATGTTCTTTCCTACAATGAAGTATTTTAAATACTAAAGTTTTCATGTCGGTGACTCTTCTCCAGCTTTAGAAATCTGAAGAGATTTATATCATAGACCTACGGTCTATTTCAAGGAAATATTTTAGTCTCTGTGTGAAATTTACAAAATGAAAATTTTAGTCTTCTAATTACTTATATTTGTTATGATTGTCAAATAAATTAAACAATGCGTGCAAAAATTACACATCAAAAGATTTTATAATTTTGCTAATTTGCTCTTCTACTTTCATTTCCAGTTAGACGATATTTTAGCGTGTGCTCAAGATAACCTTTATTACAAAACATTCTAGAATGTTAAGTCACAACTTTTATGCATACAAAATTCTCTGTGGTCTGGATGTTGTCATTAATTTTTAGTTTCATGATCATAAATTAAGTTCTATGTTTAGTCAACATTTGGATTCTGTATTCATAAAAGGTTGATAAATATGCCATCCCTCATTCCTCCAGATGCATCAAGTAAACATTGGCCTCTCTGTTATTTCCACAGTTTTAATTTATAGGCTTTTGTTGAACTAATAAACAGTATCCATATCTCGGGCTGATAGTTTAGTTTATAAACTATTTTCTTGGTGCAATTTTCATGGGAATTTTTGAACATCTATTATCTTTATCAGAATATCCATTCTTCTATTACTTTTTGACTTTCTCCACAAATCTAATGAAAGATTTGTGTAGAGTTAATTTGATTACTTTTATTTATTTATTTATTTAAGTTCTCCATTTTATTTATTTCACTTAAAAGAATTCCCTTCTGATTCCAGTCAATTTGCAGAATGTTGTGAAATTTTTTTTTGTTGTTTTATTTTTATTTATTTATTTTAGTGAAACACCATGAGGTACAGCTGTAGACTTACAAACTTTCCTGCTTGGAATAGCACGGTAGCACTGTCCTCCCATTGTTCATCGATTTGCTCTAGTGGGCAGCAGTAATGTTTCCATTGTGAGACTTGTTGTTACTGTTTTTGGCATATTGAATATGCCATGGTAGCTTGCCAGGCACTGTCATGTGGGTGGGTTTAAATAATATACTTAAATTTTTAAATATAAGTTTAATCTATTTTTATTAAATTTTAGGTGACATGGTCAAAATAGTGTTTGCATTTATGATTTTGGTGTACAAAATTACTGCACATTCACCTCTACCGAAGTTCTCCAGACCCTCTAAAACAGTACTGTATTAATTCTAGTCTGTCTCTACCTTCCCATGCCCTCCATGCTATTTTCCATGAGCTAGAGAATTTTCCCACCAACAGTGAATGGAGGATTTCTTTTTAATCACATCCCTGTCTTACTGATATATGCCTAAAACCTACTTTAATACAATGCACAAACCTTATTTATATTTTACTATTTGTATAAACTTTGTTTAAGATGTATCTCTGGTTTTATAGTTGATTATGGGAAAATTTTAATAAGAATAGTGTCAGGGTCATCTTGGAATTTTCAGAAATGTAATATTTAGTATAAACTCAAACTGAACATGGTTTGGTGAATACTTATTTTATAAATGAAAAGCAAAATTAATTTTTATGTATGAACTGAAGGTATTTTTATTTAGTTAGTTAGTCTAAGGATCATCCCAGCAATGCTCAGGGATCTCTTCTGGTGGTGCTCAGAGAACCATACGCATAATTGGGTCATAGAATAAGGTCAACTGACTATAAGGCAAACACCTTAACTGTTATGTTTCTAGCTCCTTATGAAATTTTTGGTAACAACAATTGTCAAAAGATAGCAAAGTGAATCCAAATGTTGCCATCCTAAAAAGAAGTTGCCTTCCTAAAGAGAAATTGTTATTCTAAAACTGTATTCCAAGATAAGCTATAATTAAAGCATAATGAAAAATATACTCAAGAAAAAATTCTTACTCTATGAAACTTTAAAAAAGAATTTATCAATAAATATGCTTCTCAAAATATATTTTCAAAAAATGGAAAATGCCAAAAATAACTTTCTCCTAGGTAGTAGTATATGCACAAATAATTTCAAAGAGCATAGTCTGCATAAAATAAAAATCAATGTTAATGACTAAATGGTTGAAATTCATTACATAACAAAAAAACTTGAAAACAATATAAAAGAGGACAAATTGGGGCTGGAAGGATAGCACAGTGGGTAAGGCATTTGCCTTGCCCACGACCTACCCGGGTTCAATTCCCAGGATACCATATTAGTCCCCCGAGCACCGCCAAGAGTAATTCCTGAGTGCAGAGCCAGGAGTAACCCTTGTGCATTGCTGGGTGTCACCCAAAAAGAAAAATAAAAAAAAATAAGTAAAATAAAATAAAAGAGGACAAAGAGTAGAATGCTGATGAGTTCTAACATTTGATCTTTTAACTAGTCATAGTGAATACTTTAATTAAAATAAAAATTTTAATAATGTGACAATGGTTACCTCTACCAGACCAGCAATAAAAAAGCAAAATTTAAGGAAGATAATTTTCAACAGAATATAGAGTAAAAAATATGTACATGGAAAAGTAACTTCAAATCTTCTAATCTGATGTCTCAAAAAACTCCCAAATATAGTAGTGAAGAGTAATATTGGCAATTAAAGGGTATAGATTTTTAGACTGGGAAAAATCTTTAAACATAAATGCAATTTGGTAACAACAATTGTCAAATATATAGATTAAGGTTATAAGGTCTCTAAGGTTAACATATACCAACAATCTAGAATTTACTTGTATTTTTTATTTTCATTTTTGATTTGGGGACACCCCTGGTGTGGTTCAACGTATATTACAGACTCTGAGTACAATGATCATTCCTGGCAGGCTTGGGGACTGTACAAGGACCAAGCCCAACTTTGCTATACATAAGGCAAGTTCTCTACCTGCTGTGCTCTCTCTCTGACCTAATTTGTCTTCTTATAAAAAAATTACTAATAACAGCAGAGTTTGTCCTAATGTAATATATATATGCATACGTATATATATATATATATACAATAACAGACAAGGTGATATTCTAAACTCATGAGATTAATGTTTTAATGTTATATCTCATCATGGATTAGAAAGTTAGTACAGCAGGTAGGCACTTACCTTGAACATCGCCATCCTGGTGCGGTCCTTGGCACCCATACAGTCCTTCAAGCCCCACCAGGAGTGATTCTTGCATGCAGAGCCAAGATTAAACCCTGAGCACCATCTGATGTGGAGCCCTCAAAAAATCATATCTCATGAAAACACTTATTTTATAATACTATGCCAAAATATCAGGTTCCCCAAACATAGTAAAAACTAGCATCTATAAAAATTATATTTCCTTTGTATTTACAAGTAAAATGACATTAAAATAATTTATCATTTTCTCTGACAAGGGCTGGAGTGATAGCACAGCGGTTAGGGCATTTGCCTTGCTCACAGCCGACACGCCGACTGGAGTTCGATTCCTCTGCCCCTCACAGAGAGCCTGGCAAGCTACCGAGAGTATCTCACCTGCACAGCAAAGCCTGGCAAGCTACCTGTGATGTATTTGATATGCTAAACACAGTAACAACAAGTCTCACAATGGAGACATTACTGGGCCCACTGGAGCAAATCAATGAAGGACAGTGACAATGGAGGACAGTGACAGTGACAGTTTCTCTGACAGCCTAAATCTCTCATTTCATGACAATTGGCCATTGGGAGATCAATTTTTACCTTTAAAAAACTTTTTCTGTCAGTGCGGTTTATAATACTGTTAATGGTAGTGGTTTTTGCATAACACATTCCAGTATCACACCCTCCACCAGAGTGACAATAATCTCAAAATACTTTTAAAAACATCTACAGCCATAAGAATGAATTATTTTATAATCATAAGAATATCATATTCCCCAGTAGAGTTTCTATCATACTTCAAACATAATTCTTATAGTTAAACAATTTGGCTGAAGCTAAGATTGGGGTAAAATTTACATATTCACATTTCTTTACAGTTGAACATATGGGTATGCATATGCATAGGTTACTTAGATGAATTTCATAAGAAATTTGAGATAAAGATTTGCAATATGCAAATATGTATGACTTTACTACTTGTTTTGTAGATTCTGTATTTTCAGTGTTGTCTCAAATAGCTAGATATTATTTTCATATATTTTTCTAAATGTATAGATCAAATTTTAAGATGTGACTGAGCAACAATGATGACAGTCCAGTTTGGTATGTACGCAAATACACACCAGACATCTGGCTCTCAGTAGATTCCCATCACTGTGAGAGCACTGGGTTTGGCATGCAATCAAGATGCGACTCCTTAACAAGATGTAACTATACACACAAACACCTCTTATAAATGAGGAACATTCTCATGATTTTGACACTGCAATTTCTTGGCAAATTTCCCAAAACTCTTTGGAAACATTCCCCGTCTCACAAGAGTGGCTGAGGGTTTTATTTCCGTTTCAATTTATAAGGAGAATTTGGGGAACAAAAACTGGAGAGCTGTGGGGAGACCACATCTTCAGGGTGCCTGGTACTGTCTGCAGCAGTCAACATGCCTTTGAACCTGGTCTCTGTACTCTATCTCATCATTCAAGCTCAAGGTAAGCAACATAATACATCAACATTTTTCTTATAAATGTTGTTATTCGATTAATTTTAAAATACTACTGAGAAATATGGCATTCACATTATTAAAAATCACTGCTGTTTTTATTTTGGAATATTTACTTAATAGCTGTGTTCATAGTCAAGGCGTTGTGATTGATATAAGGGAACTCTGTAACTTTCACTCTTATATTATTTTAATTCATAATCATACAGTCATACAGTCATATAATCTCACAGTCCTACTATGTTATTGCTAAAATGCATACCAAATGACATGAACTATCTCTCAGGCCTCAAAGCAAGATGTCTTCACTTTCTCCAATGTTTTCTTGAGGAACATTGAGATTTTCTACCCCATAATCATTTATCTAAAGACCTAATTTAGTCAAAAGCTGTGCTAGGTAACAAGAAATATTCAAATGGCCTTAAATTTAAACAAGTCATAATGACATAATTATGAAAAAAATAAAGAGTTAACTAAGGAATCGAACAATTAGTGTTAGAATTGTGATCCCATACCTCACACCTCACACCTCACACCTCACACCTCTTTTGATAAAGTTCTAGTCATACATTTATCAGCCTCTGTTTTCTTATGTATGAATTCCCCTACCAAAAGACAAAATTACAGCAGAACTTTGGCAGCCATCACTCTTGCTTTGCTCTCTCTTCCAGGCTCCTCACATCAAACAGGTAAAGAAGTACTTGGTGTTCCGAAGTTTGCCTGGATTGTCACACTGAATAAGAAATTGTTTCTAAACATAGACACTTAAATGTGAAAACAAGAGCATTTAAAAATAAGACTGACCATATGGAGGATGATTGAATATATATTTTTTAAACTTAAGAAGGGATGCCCGATGTGTTCCTAGGATGATGCTATTTAATTTTATATTTTATGCTATTTAATTTTATGCCAATTTCTCTTTTAGATAAGCATACTGATGGGGGAAAAAAAGAAACTTTCACAAAACTGGACTTAAGAACATATATTTCAATTCTATTATGAGCTCTTTCCTACCTATATGAAAGCAAAATAGAAAATTGCCTAAGTAAAATAATTCCAAATGCAGCAAGGACATCTGGTCTATAGATAGTTTTCTCCATGCACTCAGTTGTTTTAAAATTGTTCCAGCAAAAGTTAAGAAAAAAATCGTTTGCTATGAAACCTAAAGTATTGAGCACAAGTGCCTTTGAAAGAACTTAATTACTTTAGTCACACTGAGAAATAAAATAAGAGCTAATAGAATCTTTTCTACAAAGTATTATCTGTAATTAATACTTAACTTTTCAAGGGTTTGTACACAAAGGGAAAAGACCAAAAACGGGAATTATGGAGGTTTCTGAGGACACTGGGAAAAACAAATTTGCAAGTTTAAAGGGATTATACATGTCCACATAAATAACTAGATTAGGGAGAATTCTTGGCTCCTATAACTTCTGTTCTATTCCAGATCTTCCCTTTCCAGGAGTGTAGCCCAGAAGCTATATATGTTGAGGAGTATCCAACTAACTGCTTCACTATTTATTGTCAGAAGTACAAAATTGCTTATTATTGGAACTGTAGTAAAAGAAGTAACTTGTTTTACTCTGCACTTTCCTTCTTAATGCAAATTTAGTCTTCCATATTATTTCAACAAACCCACAACCAAAAAAAAAAAAAACCTTTATTTTGTCAAATTCTCTCTCTAGCACTAATCATAGAGCAAACACCTGAATCAGAGTACTATGAAGTTGTTCATCCCAAAAAACTACACAGTTTACACAAAAGGGAATTGCAGAACAAAGTGAAAGAGAAAGATCGCGAAGAGGTAAGAAATTCAAATGATTTTGGCGTGTTTTACAATAATCTGAAGAACAATAAACTTTTACTAAGAGAAGTGATGATATTTAAAATAAATATAAAACTCCATTTTACCCATGAGGAAGTGTGTAAACTCAAAAAGACAGCAGCCGTCTATCTATCTCTCTCCCACCGCCCGCATTCGGTAGTCTCATGCCACTTACCCCACCCCGGAGAGGTTGATGGCAATGGGCAGGTGAAGGAAGGAAATCCAGGGCCAGGCTGGTTGGTGTCAGTTGCAGTTTATTCCATTCCCATCTCCATTCTCCTATGATTCTTCTCCTGCTTCTTCCTCCCCCATGTTACTTCACTCTCCTTCTCGATCCCCCTTCATCCTCCTTCTGGCTCTGGAATCTGGATCCCCTTTTTCCTTCTCCTTCTGGACTCTGGATCTCCCAGCCCCCTCTTTTTTTTATTGTGATATTTTTTTTATTTTAATTTTTTTTTTTATTTTTAGTGAAACACCATGAGGTACAGTTGTAGATTTACAATTTTTTGTGCTTGGGTTTCGATTATACAATGATCAAATACCCATCCCTCCACCAGTGCCCATTTTCCACCACCATGGATAATATCCCTCCCACGCCCATCCCTCCCTTCTCACCCTGCCTCTGTGGCAGGGCAATCCCTTGTGTTCTCTCTCTCCCTTTGAGTGTTGTGGTCTGCAAAAGAGGCTTTGAGTGGCAAACATGTTCAGTCCATAGTCTACTTTCAACATGCATCTCCCCTCCTGGGAGGATCCTCCAAACACCCTTTATTTGGTGCTCCTTTCTCTATCTGAGCTGCCCTTTCCCCTAGAATGCCTGGCTGGCCTCTGAGCTATGGAGTAATGCTCCTGGTGTTGATGTCAGCTATTCTTGGGTATTAATCTCATATTTTGTTTCTTTATATTCCCCAGATGAATGCAATCTTTCTATGTCTATCTCTCTCTTTCTGACTCATTTCGCTTAGCATGATACTTTCCATGTTGTACCACTTGTATATAAATTTCATGACTTCATCTTTTCTAACAGCTGCATAGTACTCCATTGTGTAGATGTACCAAAGTTTCTTTAACCAGTCATCTGTTCTTGGGCATTCAGGTTTCTTCCAGGTTCTGGCTATTGTAAAGAGTGCTGCAACGAACAAACAAGTGCAGATATCACTTCGACTACACATTTTTGACTCTCTGGGATATATTCCCAGGAGTGGTATTGCCCCAGCCCCCTCTTACAGTCTAGTTAAATCCCAAAGCATGAGGGGTTACACATAGGTGTGGTCACAATCAATAGGGGTAAAGTTCTTTCCCTCAGGGGGTACTTCTTCTAGGACAGATACTCTCTCAGCGGATGATCCACCCTAGAACAGTAACAGAATCCCCTGGGTGTGTTTCTCCTCACCTTGTCCAACAAAGATAAGCATTCTGTGTGGACACAGTAAGAGAAACATTAAGCTTATAGAATTGCTCTTCATAAGACATAAGGAGAGGAGAAAGACAATATTTCACTCATACATATAAAATCATAGATTTCTGAGGAATCTGACTTTACAAGTTTACAGATTCTGATTAGGGGAAAAAGCTGATTAACTGGTTGGGGAGGAGAGCATAGGGAATAGTTTACAGATAAACACAATGGAACGGAAGTGCCTCAGGAGCACTGTAATAAACTTGAGTTCCTTGTGGCAAGGGAGGAAGGACAAACCAATGTCATCCTACAAGGAAGTATGGATTTCTCAGAATATTTGATTATGATTATGCAGCAGGAAGAGTGTTAATTGTTGCATGTAATCAGAAAACTAATCTGGTGGGACATTTCTCTATCTGGGGATTTTGAGGAAAGAAAGCAGCATAGTCAAAGCAGCCAGTGTGTGTGTGTGTGTGTGTGTGTGTGTGTGTGTGTGTGTGTGCGTGTGTGTGTGTGAATTTTTAAAATTTTATTATAACACCATGATGTACGTACTTCCTCATAGTTAAGTTTTAGACATACAATATTGCAGAACTGATCCCACCAACAATAGTTTCAAATTCCCTCCTCCAATGTTCCCAGATTCCTTCTCAAGTGTCCCTTGCATCCCTCAAGCCTACCCTCTTGACAGGCATATAGATTATCTTAATTATATCAGAGTTATGACAGAAACATCTTTAAGTTGTTAGAGTTTGGGTCTCTTGATTTCAGTATTATTGACTCTGTGGTCTGGATATTTGGCTCCATCATTCCTTAACACCGCCTAATATCTTCATCTACTGATCTGGACTCTGTTGCTTCTGATCTGTGATGTCCCTAAACAAACTCAGATGCACATCTTTTCCCTACCCTTACCCACTGCCTCCACTGAATTTCCTTTTCCTGCACCATTTTATTAACAAGGTAGAACTTAACATAATCTCATTAAGGAGAAGTTCAGAAATAAAGATATAAATAATTTTACTTACATTATTATAAATATTTCCCTCACTTTATAATTTAAACTGCATTTAATTCTTAATGGATTTTCATCTAGATTTCCTTAACATATTATATTTGATTTGGTTTTAAAATGAGAAAAGAAATATGTACCTTATTTTCATTAGCACATATAGTGAATCATTAGGATATGCTTTAAAGAAAGTGCTTACCTCCCCCACGATCCCCCCCCCTTTGTACATACAAGAATTATTACTGAATGACTATACATTTTGGAAATCAGCTAATCAAAAATTTGTGGTTCACTTTGTAGAATATAAAAAAATTCTCAAATATCTTATATTTGAGACTATAATAAAATGTTGTTATTTTACATGCATTTATAATCATTCCATATAACTTAATATATAACATTTTAGATAAATGCAGAAATATACATTGATTTCATATGTTCTTATATTTTTAATTATGTCCAATATTTTTAGGAAAGATATGACTCTGAAATTCAATATCAGATTAAAATAAAAGGAGAAGATGTCATTCTTTACCTACAAAAAACCAAGTAAGTTGTACTTTCTGAAAATTAAATCATTTGATTATATTAAACAATTAGAGAAAAAACTCCATTCGAGGCACTATTTCATAAGATTTGACAGGGAATTATGAATTATAATGAGTATTAGAGGCTATTAGTTTGTTCTGATTATTTCTAAGAAGGCTGATGATGTCTGAGAATAATTATAATTTTTAAGAAAGCAGAATACTTCTAAGAAGTATTGAAAAAATCACTTTTTCCCTTGACATGCCTTGGAATTTACTAAAATGCAAACTATTTATATGTGGTTTTATTCCTTTAATAAGATATGTTGAAGGCTCAGTCAGGGTACAGAGCCTTGAATTAGATCCAAGCAACAGGATTCCACAAGCTTCTCCCAGAATCCAATGATACTTTGTATAAGCTTCTTTACAACAAAGCACCTTCAGAGGTAATGTAATGATTATGTCCTCCATACAAAAATTCCCAAACAACCCACATGAGGACAGACAGTATGCAGCTGAAAAGCAACTAAAGGTATATCTTTTCTCATGTCTGATAGTTATGACAAATGCTTTGGTTCTAAGCAACAGTTTTATTTATTATGGGGGAAGGGCAGGGGTCAGGGCACAATATAGGATGCCGGAGAACAGAACCCAGGTGGACCCGTACAAGGCGAACACCTTACCCACTATGTTATGCTATCACTCTGGCCCAGAGAAGCAGCAGTTTTAAAGCCAGAAAAAGATCAGCTGGTCAGGGTCAGAGCAAGCACAGGGGTGTTGCTTTCACAGCTAGAGCTTTCATGGCTAAGACTTTCACAGCTAAGGATTTCAGGGCATCCTTGAGTTAGATCCTGGCACTACATACTGTGCCCTGATGACACCAGGTGTGATCCCTGAGTACAGAGTCAGGAGTGAACACAGTCACATCTAGTCCCAACCACCCACCTTCCCCACAAAAAATTTTTAAAAATCAGCTGGTCAGAATGTCAACTTGTTCCTCACTATAAACGTTTTCATTCAATTTGTGCTAAGGTCCTATCCGAAATATTACCTCTTATTACCATCACTGTGTATCATGCACTTTTTTTTTAATCTTAACAGGCATCTTCTGGGACCTGACTACAGTGAAACATATTACTCCCCCACAGGAGAGGAAATCACCACCAGTCCTCAGAAGGTGTTTTCTGAATTCTTTGTTTAACTCTTTCTGGGATCTGTGACTCTTGTTATGAAATTCATAGACATCCTTTATTAAGAATTCCAAGGACATCTTTTTTAAAAGTCTACAGAATTGGGGGGGGGGGCAGAAAAATAGTACAGCCTTGCATGCAGCCAGCCAGCCAGCCCAGGTTTGATCCCAGGCATCCCATTTAGTTCCGCAAGAACCACCAGGAGCGTTATCTGAGTGCAGTTAGGAATAACCAGTAACCTGTGAGGCCCCAAACAAAACAAAACAAAAAATATATACATATTTGGAGAACTGGAGAGATAATACAGAGGGTAGGATGCTTTCCTTACATGTGGCTGACCCCAGTATCCCGTATGGCCTGTGAAGCCTGGAGAGGAGTGATTCCTGATCACAGAACCAGGATTAAGTCCTAAGCACTGCCACGTGTGATCACCATAACAAAACAAAACAAAACTGAACGGACTAGAATGACCAATGAGACAACAGATAAGAAAGTTTTTAAAAGGTAAAATTTTAGGATACTCCCAAGTGTGGCATTCTCAGAAGCAAACAAGAATCTACTTTTCGTTAGCCCATCTTATCAACAGGTTCACTAGAGGGACTTGGAAGTCTATATCTCTAGTCACCATTTTCTGATATTTTTATGTTGCACGCAGTAATAGCATATCAGATATTTAATCAATATAATTTTATATCAAGTTACAATGCCATCCTCTGTATAAAGCCAGGCCTAGAGTTAGACATAGAAAATCATGACCAAGAGGAGAGCAGGAGAGAATAGAAAAGGCTGAAAATGGTATTTGCTTAGAGATGTGTTTCGAGTGTCCCTTTTTAAATTTATTTTTAATAAATAAACTTGCAAACCTCCTGAAACTTAGTGACTTTTAAAATTTTTGCTTTATTATTGGTTTCAAGGTCACAACCAGCAGTTCTCAGTACTTACTCCTGGTTCTATACCGAGGGACCACTCCTACTGGGGCTTGGGGAATCATATTGGGTGCTAGGATTGAATATGGATAACACCCTGCCCATTGTACTGTCTCTCTAGTCGAACAGAATAGCTTTTACAAACCTGTTTAAAATTTTATTTTTTAAGTATTTTGATTTATTATTCTATATTCTATATAATATATTATTGCTCATAGGGTTTTTGAAGCATAATGTTCCCGCATGACACCCTCCACTAGAATTCTCACTCCCCACCCCCACCATAGTCCCTATTGCCTTTCCCCATCAGTGCCCCTGCCCAACCCCACCCATGTACACGTACACACTGACTGTCAGCTCAGTACTGTAGGCAAGTTCTTCAAATGGCTTTTTCTTTCTTTCTAATTTGATACATATGTGGAGTTTCACAAACATTAATCTCCAAGTAAAGTATCCAATAAATGAAGTCATTCTGAAATGGCTACAGTTGAAAATGTCTAAAGTGCTCTGCTCTTTCCAAGTCTTCAACAAGGAAACATTTATTATAACAAGGTTTCTCCCAAAGAAACAACAACATATGTATTTTCAATTGAGATATGTCCATATATATTGAAGAAAAAGCTATGTGTTAGGTCATTATATGTGAGTCTTTACTTCGCTTACATGGAACACCAACCCTGTCTAAACCTCTCGAAAACTGTTTTGTTGTTGTTGTTTTTTATCTTTATTTTTTGATACTGGTAAAGAAATTGCACTATCACAGCAATTTGAATGGTTGATTAAATGCGTTAATATGAAGGGCTCAGGAGTATGACTTTGAAGACTCATACAATCTAGGAAAATAGGTACTTCATTTTACTGATGTCTCAGGAACTGAACACAGGGAGCAAAATTCTCAGAAGCTGACTGTCAGTCCTGAGAAGTCTTTGGAAAAACTGTCGGTTATATGGAGTTTGCCATTTCTCAGCTATAGGGATATATAAATTCACTTAGGTTCACATAGAGGTAGTAAAATGGGTAAGGTGCTTTCCATGTATGTGGCTGACCCAGATTCAATCCTCAGCAACGCATATTTCCCTGAGTACTTCCAAGAGTGATCTTTAAGCACAGAGCAGGAATAAACCCTGAGCACAACCAGGTATGGCCCCCAAACCAAACCAAAAAACAAAAACCTCAATAAATTCCCTTAGGTGCAAGTTCTCTGGATTTCTCTTTTAAAACATAATTTATTTTTAATTTTTTTTACTAAAAGATAATTTCTTTGTCCAACTTTAGGAACACTGCTACTATGAAGGGCACATCCTAAATGAAAAGAATTCTGTTGCCAGCATTAGTACTTGTGATGGGTTGAGGTGAGAAGCATTTACAAAAATAGTAAACTGCCAGCTATGTATTTGTTATGGAGTTGAGTCTGATATCCTTGGCAATTTTTTCTTAATCTCTAATAGTGTGGAACATATGCTTTTAAAATGAATAATGAAACATTACCCTTGCAATGATATCATAATCTGCTCTTCCAGAAGTAAACTCTGAAAATGTTCAAACAAGATGTTTTATCCTGATTTTTGATGATATCTGAATTTGTTATCACTCCCTAAAAATGTATTTTTAAAAATTGATTCTACCATTCAATATCCAGTTGAATATTATTTTGAAGGCTATATAGGTCTGCGTGTGTGTGTATGAGGGTATGCATGTGTCAGTGTGTGCTATGAAGGGATGTTAGATGCACAGTTGTCTGAAGTGCTTTCATATTTTGCTTGAGATTCTCATCATGGCTTGCTTGAAGTTGCAGTGCTCACACCATTGACTACAGGGACTCACACTTTTTTAGTTTTGGAGCTTACATATGTACTTTAAATGGTGTTCAAGTCCTGGTCATGGTGTTTGATATATTTTAGTTAGAGTGCTGGTCTCATATTTGCAATTGCAATGCTTGCAATACCTAGCTGTGATGCGAGCAGAAATTAATCATAATCCCAAGGATGACAGATAGCAGACCTGCTAGGCACCAACTTCAGAGTTGCCAGAATCTTGGTAGGGACCAAGAGGCACCTGAAATTGAACATGAAACCTCACATTTGCAAAGACAATTAGCCACTGAGTGTGTTCTGCCCTCATCATTTATGTTGCCATGATAATTCTTGCCAATTGTGCAAATTAGAAAAGGAAGACAAGACCCATTGTGTGTGTGTGTGTGTGTGTGTGTGTGTGTGTGTGTGTGTGTGTAACATATACACTCTGTGGGGGTAACATTGCAAAAATTTACCTTTAAATTAATTATTTCCCAGAGTGGTAATAAAGTCCCCTTGGAGTCAGCATATGAAAGGGTCAGTCTTGGGAATAATTAGGGACTACTTTCTAATTATTTTTTTACTAAAGAGATTTTGTTCAATAGACATTGAGCAATACTTTTTTCCTGAAAAAGGGCCAGTGGGCCAAATAAGTTTGGGAACATGACCACTGCTATTGCTAATATTTTGTCATCTATGCCACCTCTTATGCATGAAGTCAAGAAAGATATATTTTTTCAACAGCGTATCACTTTGTAACAATATAATTAACTTTGTATTTTTGAACCAACATATTATTTAAGCTATTATTACTTTGGACAAACTTGCAGGCTATCGAATGTAGCCTGCCCACAGGGCAGAGTCTGGCAAACTCCCCGTGGCATACCAAATATGCCAAATACCAGTAACAATGATGGGTCTCATTCTCCTAAAGAGCCTTGAATATAATCTCAGGGCTAGGATGAAACTGGGGCCTGCTCGAGGCAATCGACAAATAACAGGATGATGAAATGAAATGAATGAAATTATTACTCTAGCTTCCTCTGGTTCATTGTTTCTCTCCTTTGGATTTATTGGTATCAAAGTACTTCACTAATTGGTTCTCCATTATATTTCTAAGACATATAAAGAAAATTTTGCTGCATGAATAAACTATGGAACTATTGAGTTTACAATGTAAATTCCAAAATTTTTGTGATAGCTTCAGCTTAATATTTTTTAATAACAATTCTATAGGTAAATAAATAAGAGCCTTAATTTTGTTATTGAAAACACCTCAAAATTGAGGTTATCAAGAGTTAGGGAGTTTACTAATGGGGTCCAATGAACATTGTTTTCAAGAACACTAGCAAATATCACTTAAAAATTAAAACAGTAAATTAGCAAAAGTCCTCTTAATGAATACTATATATGAAAATTTTATAGAATTCTTAAATGCCAGTCTCTATTTCATAGAGGTTACTTCACACATCACGATCAAAATTACATGATAAAGCCTTTGAAAAGAACAGATGAAGAAGAACATGCTGTCTTCACAAATAATTATGAAGAGTTAAATCCAGTTAATCACACCTGTGGCATGAGACATGTGGGTAAAGAATCTCTTATTCGATCTGCAAGATCTCCCATAAGCCCAGAAGTAAGTGTAGCTTTCCTATGTTATCATACATTTCAATTATCTCGTCAATGAGGCAATTTATTTCCCCTCTTAGAAGAAAATAAATCTTTTATCTTTTACTATCATAATTGTTCACAAGTTTCTTTACCTCTTTTTAAAGCAAAAAGAATTTCTTCAAGCTGACAAGTATATCAGTCTCTTTTTGGTGCTGGATAATGCCTTTGTAAGTATGAAATGCATTTCTTGACTGTTGAGTTAACTTCTAAGTTTTTTATCAAGTCAACACAGTGAACTATTCTAACTAAAATATAGAGCCTGTCCTCTTGATTGCTTGCATAGCAAGCGATAGTTTTCACCACGCCACACAATCCTCTCCATTCATATATTGACAATATACTTAAAACAAAAGTCAACATTAAGGGAATGGAAAGATATTACAGGGGTTATGGCTGACCCCAGTTCAATCCTGGGTTCCATATTTTATCCATAAACACCTCTAGGATTGATCTTTGAGCACAGAGACAAGATTAAGCCCTGAGCACTTCTAAGTGTGGTACAAAACAAACAAGTCTCAAAACGGGAAAAAAAATAATAGTAAGTAAACCCCAATAATATGTGAGTTATGTCTCAATAATGTGTTATGGTACTCTATTTCTAACTTATTATATAAATATATAGATAATAATATATACTCTACCAATTATATTTTACATATTCAAAAATACTCAAATATATGCTTCTAATAAATATTCCTTTAAAATAAAAGTCTAATAGAGAATTGATTGAAAGGTATTTATTATTCATTTGTTTTTTTAAAATTTATTTCATTTTAAATGAAATTTTATGAATTATGACATAAAATAGATATTATTTGCATTGAAACCTGAAATTTTTCATAAAAGTTAGGAGCCCTTTGTTGCCTCAGCTTTGTGTTTTTATTTGCAATTTTAAGTTTACTTTATGTTTGTTATTTTACAGTATAATAATTTTAACAGAAATGTAACTAGGATAAGAAGCTTTATCTTTGAAGTGATGAACCTACTCAATGTGGTAAGTTGTTTGTGCCTTGTGAACGAACATTGGAAAGACTGGGACTTGGGGTTGGATGTGTAACAATGGCCCACAATCTGGGCTGGTTTTAATCAAGCAGGACCAATAGCAATGTAGGCACCTACTAAGTTCTATATTTTCAAAATGAAATGTGTTCATTTAGTAGTTGTGGTCAGCAAGATAATTCTTGAACCATTTTATGAAAAAGTGCTCTTTTCACAGATTTATAGAACCATAAATATTCAAGTGGTCTTGGTAGGTATGGAAATATGGTCGAATGGTGATAAGATAGAGATGTCAACCACGAAAAATGAACTCTTTACCAATTTCAAGAATTGGCATCGTTCCAGCTTTCGAAGTCAGAGGATTCATGACCACATTCAGTTACTCAGGTGAGCTTGTGTTAACCAGAGCCAGGTGTTCAGAGACAAGAGAAGATAGTTATCCCAATGCCAATAGAAAAGGATTTATGTTCAATTGTATCTTCCCAATCAGTTTCCAAACATCTTGAATATATACTACTAACAATTCACTTGTGAGATTATTGGAGACTATCAGATCAATAATATGGAAATTTGTATTGCAATGGCTAAACTATTTGTGATATTGTTTAATTTTTTTAGATTTTTGGGGGCTTTTGGGGTCACACCTAGCGATGCACAGTGTTTACTCCTGGCTCATGCACTCAGGAATTACTCATGGCAGTGCTTGTAGGACCATATGGGGTGCTGGGAATTGAACCTGGGTCAGCCGTGTGCAAGACAAACGCTCTACCCACTGTGCCATCGCTCCAGTCCCTATTTGTGGTATTATAATACTATGGAATAAACTTTTCTGGGACTTAGTGAATATAATAAGACTAGAGAAATAAGAGAAATAAAAATATAATATACAAAATTAATGTTTCCAAAGACTCAGATCGTGACATTATACCTCTGACTTTCACACAGTGGAATTGACTTCAACAACCGACTAGTGGGATTAGCAGCCTCCAACTCCATGTGTTACTTATCTTCAATTGCTATTATTGAGGTTAGTAACATTACAGTAAGGCTCCCAGTGCTTCTACATCTTCTACAAAGACCATTTTTTTTAGTCCAACTAATAGAAATTTTCTGAGCCTGTAATGAGTGTTCAAATGCATCTGCTGATCATTTCTTTGGATATTTTTTGTTCAACAGAATATCTATTTACATTAGTCCTCTCAAAGGCATGTCTTTTTTTTACTTGTTAATGAAAACAAATAGAAAGATGGTGGTTTTAAGGTATATCAGGTCTGAGATGTCAAAGAAAATATTAATGTTATATGACCAACAAATGCCAGTGCCACAACAGCTGGTTTTAGACACTTTTAATAAGAGTTTTTCCAGATGTGCTATGATGTATATGATCATATTTATTTAAGTATGGTTAAAATATCACAGACATCTCATTACCAAAATGACATCTCATTATCAAAAGTTAAATGTTATTGATTACTAACTCAAGGAACCAACCATGTCAAATATGTGTTTGGCATTTTGTAGAAAAAGCAGTGTTAGAGTCATAGGAACCAACCATGTCAAACATTGACTCAGCATTTTCTAAAAACCAGTGGCTGAGAAAAAAGCTTCATTACTTCGCATCTTTCAAACTTTTTGTTTTTCTACTGATCATTCGAAACAAGAAATAACTGACGAAAATAAGAATTTATAGATGTTTCTACTTTCTTTCAGGCTAAGAACAAGAACAGTGTGTCTCTAGTAGGAGTCATGGCACATGAACTGGGCCATGTCCTTGGCATGCCTGATGTTCCTTATAACACAAAATGCCCTTCTGGTAGTTGTGTGATGAGTCAGTATCTGAGGTGAGACATTGTCATCCTGTAAAACAAAATCGTTATTAAGTGTTAAACAGTTCAGATGTGGTCCACATAATTGGGTAAGCATTTTGGAAAACATTTTTTCTAAAATTATGTATATAATTATTTTTGTCATAGAACATCATAATCAATCAATCCATCCATCAGGACTTGTTTTTATTTTTGTTTGTTTGTTTGATTTGGGGCCAAACCCAACTGTATTTCGGGGTTATTCCTGGCATGTTCTATCTCTCTGGCCCACAACTTGAGACAGAAAAATTAACAAAAACATACACGTTAATAAAAGTGCTTATGACTAGAGAAATAAGAGTGTGTACTTTCTTAGTGTTCAATTACTACCTTTCACTAGCTCACTGTTATTATCTTTTACCTCTTGTCTCTCAGTGTTGGGATGAGAAAGCAATTCCAGAGTTTCCATGTAGGAAAGTACTTAATGAATTCACCAGGGAATTTATATTCTAACTCTGCAAATGGGTATCTAGGAAAATAATTTTCAGACTGGCACAGTATACTTGTTCTGTTTTCCTTTTCACAGTGTCATACCACACAGAAACTAAATTTATAATTTCTCCCAACCCCGGTTAATTAGATAAGTCAAATTCTTTTGACCACTGATGTTGCATATCATTGAATTTCTCATTTTTGTTTTGGTTCCAGTTCAAAATTCCCAAAGGATTTTAGTACAATCAGCCGCTCACGCTTTGAAAAATACCTTTTATCTCATAAACCAAAGTGCCTGCTGCAAGCACCAATTCCAAAAAATATAATGACAGAACCAGTGTGTGGAAACAAACTTCTGGAAGTAGGAGAAGAGTGTGACTGTGGGTCTCTCAAGGTATGGAAGAAGAAGGGGTTAAACATTTGTCAGCAAGTGCATGAACAGTTATGCAATTTTTTTTCTTTTTAAAAAGCCTTTTTTGCTAAAGATGACTCTGGCCTCACATTATAAATTAATTTTGCATTTGTGTATTTTGTTCAAATTTGTTTTTCAAAAGTCATTTCAAATATCAATTGTGATATGGCTTATAAAACTTAGTGTTAAGAACAAATAAAACTATGATATGAGACAGGGTTTTTTTCTAGACATATGAGTCAGAAATTATAAGTTATATTCAATCACACTTGATCATGGTTGAGCAACAGCAAATATTGTACTAGAACTAAGTTCTCTATCTGATAACTCTTGGTTTATGTTTTTAAAGGCAGCTGCAAATAGATAGTAAATAAAACATATAGACCAAAACAAAAATTGGGGTTCAGAGCCAGTAGTACAGTGGGTAAGGTGCTTGCCTTGCATGTAACTGACTACGTTTGATACCAAAAATAGCATATGGTTCCAATGCACTGCCAGGAGTGAATACTGAGAATAAAACCTGATCGTTGTTAGGTTTGGCCTAAAAAATGAGAAAGAAATAAAAATAAAATGACAAAGAGTAATATAAATAGAACTTAGAACACCTAAGATAATTTCTATGATTCTATTAACTTTATGAAAATCTGACTAGTGTTTTTGTGTTCAAATGACTCAAAAAGAAATCTAAAAAGATGTGAAAGCTGTGGTCAATTCAGAGAGATATACTGTTGACATTGTTGTCAGTAAACTGTATTCCAAATTTTACTATTGTCAGTTATGTATGCGTTATGTGGCTACCTTGTCACAATCAAAACAAAGCACTGTTTAGGAAGTAGAGATTTCCTGCAGTTTAAAAAGAAAAAGACGGACTGAAGCTGTAGTGCAGCGGGTAGGGCATTTGCCTTGCACGAAGCAGAACTGGGTTTGATCTTGGGCATCCCACATGGTCCCCCAAGCACTGCCAGGAATAATTCCTGAGTGCAGAGCCAGGAACAACCCCTGTGCATCACCGGGCATGACTGTAAAAATAAATAAATAAATAAATAAAAATGTTTTAATTTAAAAAGAAAAAGAAAAGGATGTCCCTGAGGGCCTGGGAGTGAGCCTGAAGTACTACTGTGCATGCTTTTCATACGCAAAACTGAGCAGGATTTCAAGCACTGTGTAGTCTTCAGATGCAAGTGTCATTGAGCTCAATACTAAAAGCAATGCTGGGTGTAGTTCTTGAATACCACCAGCTGTACTGCAAAAACAACGTATTTGACAAAGACAAAAAGAAAGTCTGGTAGAATGTTTGCCATAAGTCTTATATTAGATTCCTAAAAGAGGAATTGTTCTCTCTCCCCTGAAGAATCATTGCTTATTGCTCAAATTTGTGTATATTTTAAAATTTTATTGAAGAGCCATGATTTACAAAGTTATTGATAGTTGAGTTTTAGGCATATAATGTTCTAGAATAAATCCCACCACCAGTGTTAACCTATCTCCACCACTGTTTCCAAGTCTTTTAAACTGAAAAATAGTTAATCTTTGAAGGCTGGGGTGATAGTACAGTGGGTAGGGCACTTGCCTTGCACACTGCCAATGCAGATTCAATCCTTGGCACACCATATGGTCCCAGGAGCCCGCCAGATGTGATCCCTGAGCATAGAGCCAGGATTAATCCCTGTGCTTTGTCTTGTGTAGCAAAAGAATAGTTAAAACTTGAAGAAATGTTTCTACATTCTAATATGCAATATAGTTTACATATATATTATATATAATGTCTCCTCTATTAGTTAACAAAAGACCCTATGTATTATATTTAATTGTTCTCCTTATTTATTTGTGAAACTTCAAAGTAATTGTTGAAGTCCATTTCAAGAGTAAACTGTATTACACAAATGTCACTTTTTATTTTATTTATTATAAATATCCATGCATATTACTTAATTTTTAATGGTAAGTTTACTAATTGGTATAATTTTTTCTTGCAGAACTTGCAGAATACATTATCTATCTATAACTCCAAAAGAACTAACAGATATTTTTTGTCATTTTGCCCATAAACATACATTTGAGGTTCTGATCGAAGAGTATTAAATTTATTGTTTACTTGAAGAGGCGCTGACATTTTAATATTAAATATTGTCTTCAAAAATTATCTTTAACATATTTTAAAGATACAAAATTCTATATGTGGTCCTTGTTATCTTGAAAATTTATTCTAAACCATAGAAATTGTAGGGAAAGTACAGTGTGTTAGGGTCTTTGCTTTCCACACGGCTGAGCCATGATCTGAACCAGTCATCCCATACATTCCCCAGAGCTCACCAGGAATGGTTCCTGAGCATAAAGCCTGGAGTAACTCCTGAGAAACATTGGATGTAGCCCAAAAACCTCAGAATAAAAGGGAATAAAATGTACTTATTTTCTCTTTTTTTCTAGTTTGTGCAATTTTTTTTAAATTAGGATACTACTGTTTTGTTATTTATTTTTAATTATCTCTATTGTGACAATGTTTTCAGAGTTAATTCTCTGCTTTTCTGGAGACAAATTTTGTTACATGAAAGAAATTAAAATGTGATTTGTACTTTACAATTATTATTCTTTCATATATTTTTCTCATAGCACTTATTAGAATTTTGAAAGACAGTTTAATGTTTGGGGGGTTTTGAACTTCATCTGACTGTGTTTAGGACTTACTCCCAACTCGACACTCAGTGATCACTCCTTGCTTTGCTGGGGGAATCTTGTGCCATACTGAGAATCAAATTTAAGTCAGCTTGTACAAGCAAGGGCCTTAGCCTCTGTAGTATCTCTCTAGCCCACCAAAAATAATTTTTCTACCCCTTATGAATTTACTATATTTCTTGCCCATCAGACAAATATCTCCATTTATGATGCATACTTCTGTTCATAAACTACTATATATGCTAAAAATATAATGATGGCTATTGAATTTTTGACAAATTTTTCCAAAAATCACATTATTAGTTGTTTTTGCCTCTCATTTGTATAATATCATAGAATACATTACTTTATTCTGTAGGAGCAAATCAACTGTACATTTTTGGTGAAAACCTTTCAAAATATTTGTATTCTTTTAGGGGAGAGTTATTATATAAATTAAAATATGTAAAGATGTACTTTACTGATATTTTATTCAATTTTTGCCCTTTTGTTCAAAGATAAAAAGAAATTGTGTGTATTTATTATTAATTCTTGTTAACAGAATTATGTAGTCTTGCTTTAATGTATTAGGGACTTAATCTATTCTCTATTGTTAAACATTCAAATAATATAGAAATACTCTTTCAATTTTTAAATTAAATTATGCTTAATACCATCTAGACCAATTAGACATGGAATAATTCTTGGCTAGTTCTTTTTTTCCTTTCAAGGGGTGAGTTTTTATTTTTCCTAATTTTTTTCTATTATTAAATTTCCTAGGTAATTTCCTCTGAAATTTGTATAGCACAATAGTTTAATTTAAAATTTCATTGTCATCGTTCACTGTATCTAGTCAGTGAGGAGAACATACTGAATCCATTTTCTCATTGTGTCTTTGCTTTTAAGGAATGCACCAGTCCTTGCTGTGAGGCTAAGACCTGTAAATTAAAACCTGGAGCTGGCTGTGAAAACTCTCTCAACTATATCAAGTAATACCTTCATTTTCCCCTTTATTCTTTCTTATTTTTTTTCTTTTTTTTGTCTTTGAGAAAATATGTCTTTGGAGTCTTATAATACATTAAAATTATTTTACATTTAAAAATAACTTTCAGAAAAAAAAGTAGTAGAAAACTAACCTATGTTAGTGTGTTTATTAATAAATTAACAATAAAATGGCTACCTTTCCCAATTTGAGATTAGGATTGCTAGAATATAAAATATGAAAGTATGTATACTAAAAACACAAACTTTATTTAGGTAGTCATGGCTTTATTATAGACTAAGTTTAATAATATGAGTGATGAACAATTTGACTAAAAGCTGATAATTATAATTTGTAAAATAGCCTGAAAATCAATATCTTTTCAGAATAATCTATGAGATTTTAAATTTTTATATTCTGCAAAATTGAGTTTTTGTGTTTCATATAATTTGCTATATTCTGCAAAATTGAGTTTTTGTGTTTCATATAATTTTGTGTTTCATATAATTTGCTATATTCTGCAAAATTGAGTTTTTGTGTTTCATATAATTTGATATATTTGATTCCTCTGCCCCTCTCGGAGAGTCTGGCAAGCTACCGAGAGTATCTCGCCTGCATGGCAAAGTCTGGCAAGCTACCCATGATGTATTCAATATGCCAAACACAGTAACAAGAAGTCTCACAATGGAGATGTTACTGGGCCTGCTCGAGCACATCGATGAACAGCGGGAGGACAGTGCTACAGTGCTAATCTGATGTGTAATGTGTAACTAGGAACCCAATTATCTTAATGGGTATTTAGTTCAGTGAAAACTGACTCCATAACTAAAAAAGACAAAAAACAAGTAAATGAAACAGTAAATAAGGAAAAGACAAGATAAGAATATATAGAAGGAATGATTCCTTCTCATCTTTGAATTTGTTTGAAATTAAAACTGCAGAGAGATTATAAGATTATAAAGAAAGATTAAAGACTCAAGAACTGTCCACCATTACTTCCTCAGAAAAGAAATAGAAAAACCCAGGGAGAAAAACATCGTTTATTCATTTTTCAAATCACCAGTTCGCACAACCAGCTTGAAACCCTAAGGTGAATGAACTTTCAGAAATTCTCAAATCATGTTGACATTCTTACTTTTTCATAAAGACTAGAAGAATACTATCTCCAAAAATATTAATTCAGGGGCCAGAGCAATAGTAGAGTGGATAAGGTGCTTCCCTTGCAGGCAGCCAGCACATGATCCTGGGCACCCCATATGATCCCCAAAACACTGCCAGGAGTTCAAAGCCATGGTTAGTAACCCCTGAGCATCAGTGGGTGTGGCCTAAATGCAAAAACAAAAACCAAACAAAAATATCAATTCAACTTTTTAGGGCACTTGCGTATTGGTGGATATGTACCTCCTCATAAGGAAGACTGACTCTTATAATATCATAGAATAAAATTATACTCAGAATCTTTCATTTTATTTCTTAGTTATGTCAAACCTATCAGCTATGGAACTTTAAGTTAAGTTATTTAATTCTCTCTCCTGTAAAATGGAACTAATGCTATTATATCAGTAAGGTTCCTAAATTCATTAAGTCTATAACTTTTAATATTATTAATATACCATATTACCTTTAAAATAACCATGACTAATAAACATTTTTCCCTTTAATCAGAGAATGAATAAAAAATCTTCAGTGAAAAGCTACTTTGCCAAAGACAAGAATCAATAATTCTACACATGCCAGGAATTTTGTGTATTTTCAGTTCAATTCTTGGATATATTTTCCTTTGACCTGCATGCTTCCTGTATTTGTACTAATTCTTAGAGAATTTTCCTCTTTAATGTAAATCCCTACAATATTGTTTAGCACCTTGGAAAAAATATATTAGCCTCTCACCAAAACATCTCAAAATATACTGTTGATTTCTGTAGGCTCAATCCAGAATTATTAAATCATAAGTGAATTGTACTCCAGCCCTACTTTCCTTTAACTCCTGTAGCTCATGAACAAATGAAACCACTGATGAATGAGCAATTTTGTATAATAAAGTGTTACTCCATTTACTTTTTTACTACAGTACTCTGAGCCTTGCTCTTGTAAGTGTGCAATTTTATCATAACATGCCAAGACTAATTGAGTGTAATACTTTACATTTTTTTATTGTTTTTGGACCACACCCTGTGGCGTTCAAGGATTGCTCCTAATTCTGCACTCAGGAATCACTCCTGTCAGTGCTCTGGGACTCATATGTGATGCTGGAAATTGAACCGAGGCCAGCCTATCCAAGGCAAGTGCCCAACTCACAGTACTTTCTGGACCCTCAATTTGTTATTTTACTTTCATTTTTACTTATGCACTGGGATTTTCAGAGATGTTGACAACAGAGTTTCAGTGAATGTCCCCACTCCAATCCCACCACCAGTGACTACTTACCTCCCCAATGACCCCCTGGTTCCACCCCATTCCTCAACATGTATCCTTGAAAAATTTTCACTTTATGACATATAATCTCTTACACATATATTTCAGCTTTGCCTTTAATATTAACTTTGATGAATATACCTTGTTTACATTTTAATTTAGCTATCAAGAAATGTTTTGTTCATATATTTAGTGAACTATAATATCAGTGAATAAAATGGAGCATTGATTTCAATGAATAAAAGCAATTTATTGAGGCTTTCTTAATTTTTTGTTATTGTTTGATTTGGGGGGAGAGGACCTACCCAGCTGTGCTCATGGCTGACTCCTGGCTCTGTGCTCAGGGATCACTCCCAGCTACACTCAGACTAGGGATAGAACCTAGGTTGGCCATGTTCAAGGCAAGTGCCCTGCATCCTGTACTATTGTTCTGGTCCCCTATATAGTCATTTAAAAAAAAATAATGCTGGAGGGCCAGTGAAATAGTACAGTGGGTATGGACATTGCTTTGCATGTAGCCAACCCGGGTTCAATTTCCAGTACCCCATTTTATCCTTTAAGCTCTTCTAGGTGTGATTCCTGTGTGCAGAGACAGGAATGATCCCTGAGCATCATGGAGAGTGACTAAAAAACTGAAAAAACCAAAAAATAAAAAATAAAGTAATGCTTTAGAGCTTCAATATAGATGTGTGTTAAATATTAAAGCTCCATATTGCTAAGATAATCTCCATTCTGGATATTTGATAACATTGCTCAAGAGAGCCACATCATTTTGTGAAGGTGAGGAAAAGTCACATCACATCACCCAAATGACATCACTGGAGGTCAACAGAAAAGAAAACTAGACTTCTTTGGACAGAAGACATTACTTTATTACAACTGTATTACAACTGTAATACAGCAGTAATACAGTTGCCTTGCATATAGACAACTTTCATTCTATTCCTAGCACTGCATTTTGTTTCCTGAGTACCACCAGTCCTGATCCCTGATCACAGAGTAAGAAGCAAGACCTGAGCACAGATGTCTGTAGCCAAAAAAAAATGGAAAGAGGAAGAAGGAGGGAAGGAGAAAAGAAAAGAATGGGAGGAAAGAAGGAAGGAAGGAAGGAAGGAAGGAAGGAAGGAAGGAAGGAAGGAAGGAAGGAAGGAAAGAAGGAAGGAAGGAAGGAAGGAAGGGAGGGAGGGAGGGAGGGAGGGAGGAAGGGAGAGGGAGGGAGGGAGGAGAGAAGAAATGAGGGAAGGAGGGGGTGAGGGAAGGAAGGAGGGAAGAAGGAAAGAAAGAAAGGAGGGAAGAAGGAAAGAAAGAAAGGAGGGGAGGAAGGTAGAAAGGAAGGGAGGGAGAGAAGTGGGGAGGGAAAGAAGAAAGATATTAGACTTCTTGTTGCTGTAATAAGCAATAGAAATGTGTGTATAATTCTAAAGATTAGATTTTGAAAGAACCAAAATCTCCCAGAATCCCTGCCTGCTGGTGTTAACTGCATACCCTTAACTTTTTCATAATTATTTGTAAGTTTGTCACTGCTAGTGTTATAGAAGTTGCATGTCAGATTAAGAAAGAAGGAAGATTGCTAGAGGTTTTGGCCCTCAACAATTATAAAAGGTGCCACTCATATGTTTGATGATGAGTATAATTTCAAAATGCATAGCTGTTGTTTAAATGTTATTCATTCATATAAGTAAATATAGTTCGATTCCTTCACCCCTCTCAGAGAGCCTGGCAAGCTACCGAGAGTATCTCGCCCGCACAGCAGAGCCTGGCAAGCTACCCGTGATGTATTCAATATACCAAACACAGTAACAACAAAGTCTCCAGTGGAGACATTACTGGGCCCGCTCGAGCAAATCAATGAACAATGGGAGGACAGTGACAGTGACAGTGACAGTGATTTTTATCAAAGCTATTCATGGGTATTAACTGAAGCACAAGTTTCTTCAGTAAGTTTAGATTAGACCTCACAAAGTCATCTCACTTGGATAAGCTGCTGTTTTGAAGTTATGTCAAATGAAGCTCCACGGACTCAGGAGAAACTTTTACCACATCCTATCTTAATGAGGGGACGAATTAATTACCCAGAACCATGGCTATAGCCCCAGGTAACTTTTCACCCTTTTGGGGGGGCATAGGAGGTGGTTGGCTCAGGGAGCATTCCTGGCTCTCCCATGATGGTGCTCAGGGTACCTTATATGGTGCCAGAAGTAAAATCTAGGTAGGTTGTGGGCAAGGCAAACACTAATTGTTATGCTATCTCTGCCTCCTCTCCAAATGTTTCCACTAGAGAAACGAACAGATCTACAATCATGGGTTGCTTCATAACTGGAACATGCTTCATCATAAGATAATTTTGTTATATATATATATGTGTAAGAGTATAACTACCTAAAACCTAAATGTTGTAGTTGATTACATGTACTGAACAAGGTTTTGACCCATTGAGGTCACTTCTCTATGTATAATATATCATTGTATATAAAGTCACATGTGATTGTTGATGGCAGGGCAAACATTTGGGTGTTTGAGTTGCCTTCTCCCCATTTTAAAGAGCCCTCTTCTCTCTTTGAAGTTCCAGATCTCTATCATTATCATATTCCTTAATCTGGGATAAATATTTCCAATTTATCTCAATAGATTTTGAATCCTTTTTTTCTGTGTAAGTTCCTGGATATAAAAAATTATGTTTGCCAACTTTGTCTTCAATGTACCTTATGGTTTCTGGTCTGATGTTGAGGTCTTTAATCCATTTTGATCTTACTTTTGTACATGGTGTTAGGCAGAGTTCTGAGTCCATTTTTTTTGCATGTAGCCATCCAGTTTTGCCAGAACAATTTTTTAAAGAGGCTTTCCTTACTTCACTTCAGATTTAGCAAAGATTAGATGATCATATCATTGAGGGGAGATGTCAGTGTATTCAAGCCTGTTCCATTAGTCTGCAGCTCTATCTTTGTTCCAGTACCATGCTGTTTTAATTAGTACTGCCTTGTAGTAGAGTTTGAAGTTAGGGAGGTTGATTCCTCCCATTTTCTTTTTCCCAAGAATTGCTTTAGCTATTTGTGGGGGCTTATTGTTCCATATGAATTTCAGGAGTGTTTGCTCCATTTCTTTGAAGAATGTCAGGGGCATCCTTGTAGGGATTGCATTGAATTTGTACAATGCTTTGGGAAGTATTGCCATTTTGACAATGTTAACTCTCCCGACCCATGAGCAGGGGATATCTTTCCATTTTCTCATGTCCTCTTTTATTTCCTGAAGTAGTGTTTTGTAGTTTTCTTTGTACAGGTCCTTTACTTCCTCAGTTAAGTTGATTCCTAGGCACTTGATTTTCTGGGGCACAATTGTGAATGGGATTGTTTTTTTCATGTCACTTTCTTCCCTATCACTATTTGCATATAGGAAACCCATGGACTTTTGGGTATTGATTTTATAGCCTGCCACTTTACTATACAAGTCTATTGTTTCTAGGAGTTTCTTGGTGGAGGTTATAGGGTTCTCTAAGTATAGTATCATATCGAATCTAGTGGTATCTTCAAAGATGTCATGCCACTGGCCGAGCAAGTGAAAACAGATAGATAAATGGGACTATCTTAAACTAAGAAGCTTCTTCACCACAAAAGACACAGTGACCAAAATACAAAGACAGTCTACAGAATGGGAAAGGATATTCGCCGAATACACATCTGACAAAGGGTTGATATCAAGGATTTATAAAGTACTGGTTGAACTCCACAAGAAGAAAACATCCAACCCTGTAAAAAAAATGGGGCAATGAAATGAACAGAAACTTTCTCAAAGAAGAAATCTGAATGGCAAAAAAGCACATGAGAAAATGCTCTACATCATTATCATCAGGGAGATGCAGATCAAAACCACAATGAAATGCCATTTCACACCTCAGAGACTGGCCCACATCCAAAAGAACAAAAGCAACTGATGCTGGCGTGGATGTGGTGAGAAAGGGACAATCCTTCACTGTTGGAGTGAATGCTGACTGGTTCAGCCCTTTTGGAAAACAGTATGGACGATTCTCAAAAAACTAGAAATTGAGCTCCCATTTGACCTAGCAGTACCACTGCTGGGAATATATCCCAGAGAGGCAAAAATGTATAGTCGAAGTGACATCTGCATTTCTTTGTTCATTGCAGCGCTCTTTACAAAGCTAAAATCTGGAAAAAACCTGAATGTCCGAGAACAGATGATTGGTTAAAGAAACTTTGGTACATCTATACAATGGAGAATTATGTGGCTGTTAGAAAAGATGAAGTCATGAAATTTACATACAAGTGGTACTACATGGAAAGTATTATGCTATGTGAAATGAGTAAGAA